GGTTCTGTTCCTTTATGCTGTTGTTAAAACAAGGTAGCGTTTTACATTGGCTGGCCACTATGGTACTCTAGTTCAGCAGTGTAGGTATTCCATATCAAAGGATTCAAGCGTGCATTCGACACATTTGCTTATATATAAAATACAACCTGCACTCAGAATAAAAATAAAAAAATTACAAAAGTTAAAAAATCAAAGATACAAATGTAAAAGACACAAAATATAAAAAGATTCAAAAATGTATAAAACAGAAAAACATATTCGGACTGACAATATTGTATCATTCACATATACATATATAAAGAGAATGAGGAATGGTAGTTTTTTTAAAACTTGTATTATAAGGTGGTTCATTACCAAGTTAGCCAAGATTGGTGAAGCTGGGTTGCCCATTGCAGATCCATCCTTTTGTAGATGGATATTTTATTCATAAGAGAAATAACTGGTGTCAAAACAGTAAGTAATCAAGGTTTTCTTCTCTAATATCATCAAGTAGTTATGGAGAGCAGGCACAAAGACTTGTGAAAACATGGTCGAAGGACGTCATAAGACTGGCAAATCTTAAAAAAAGAAGAATTTTCCTATTGAAGTGTAGACAAAACAACATCCTCCCTAAACATTTGAGTGGAAGCATTAAATGCTTGTACCCTGCATACTCTGACAACCACTCATTCCAAAAAAGGGCAGACAAGGTTGCATTGAAGTTTAAGAAGGCTCTCCTTAATTTAGAAATTGACATTGCTATCTGGAAATTGAAATCAACAGTAGTGGAATCAATCAATTCCCTCAAAGCTGACTTGAAAAACCGTATCCCTGAGGAGGTTTTTCTATATTGTCTGAACGAAAATAACAATAGATATAATAGAGAGTTCAACAAGATTAAGAAAATTAACATAGAAAAGCTAAGATCCCTTGGACAAACACAAAATGAAATATGTACAAATGTTGAACAGAATAGGCTCCTTGCATCAAATTTTTTTATTGCTGATTTCGATAGTCCATGAAAAATAAGTCAACACGTGTTTTTTCCTTTTCTTCTTAGTCAAAAATTGACGGAGATACAGCTCTATGAAATATGCCTATGACGTCACTTATCATATAAATTAGTGACGTTGCACATGCTCAGTATATCTATATAGGTATACAAAACTTAATACTTGTATAACTTCCGGAATAATCATATTTGGGCGAAATTACAAAAAAGTAACGATTTTTTTTTCGATTTCCTACAGTTTGCAATAAACAATAATCAATTTAATTTTCCATGCAAGTACCCTATTAAATGTACCTACCACTCCCACATGAAGTGGAAACGACCCTAAGCCTGGGTCCAAAATTTGGTCTTCCCTTAACAAATAAGGAGATTCCCATATCAACCATAATCAAGGATCTTGAATACTGCATAGGAGCACAGACAATGGCAGATGAGCACAAGGAAAGCTTGAGAGGTCAGACCACGAACATAATCACGAATTTCTACCTGGATGATAGACCAATCCCGCAGAAGTCCCTAATCAATAGAGTTAGAAGAACAAAACGATTCCTCAATGAATACCCACACATAATGGTTAGCAGATCAGATAAGGGCAACTCCACAGTCCTAATGGATAAACTTGAATACCACCAAAAAAACACTAGAAATGCTGAGTGACACGAACAACGAACAGCTACCAACACGTCAATCGAGACCCAACAAACAAATACCAAACAATGGCCAACAAAATAATAATAGAATTAAGAACCAATAATTTTATAACAAGTAGAGAAGAGAGGAGTCTAAAACGCCACAACTCAGTCCCGCCTAAGTTATATTGTTTAAGGAAGACACACAAACCCGGACTACACCTTAGACCAGTGGTAAGCTGCATCATTTCTCCAGGATATAACTTAGCTAAGTATCTACACAACATCCTCAACCCTCTAACGTCTACGTTTTATTTTAATATTAAGGACTCTTTTCAGTTCCCTGAAATAATTAAACAACACACCATCCCAGATGGGCATGTTCTAGTCTCATTAGATGTTGTCAGCCTGTTTACTAACATACCAAAGCAACTAGTCTTGAATATAATTAAAGAAAATTTCAAATTTATTTCCAACTATACGGTTATTTCCAGAGACAGCTTGACTGACTTGATTACTTACTGTTCTGACACCAGTTATTTCTCTTATGAATAAAATATCTATCTACAAAAGGATGGATCTGCAATGGGCAACCCAGCCTCACCAATTTTGGATAACTTGGTAATGAACCACCTTATAACAGAAGTTTCAAAAAAACTACCATTCCCCATTCCCTTTATATATGTATATATGAATGATACAATATTGTCAGTACCCAAGAATGAACTGAATCTGACAAGAGATACTTTCAATAAATTTCACTAATCACTCCAGTTCACCATGGAGATAGAGACAGATAATGAGCTGTGCTTCCTGGACATGGAAATTCACCACAAACCTAATGGCACCTTGCTGACAAATTGTTATTCTAAACCCACTAGTTCAGGTAGAATTCTCAACTACCTATCCAACCACCCAATATCCAATAAAGTAGGCATAATATGTGGGCTTCTACATAGAGCTCTTGATTTGAGTGACCCTGAATTTCACAAGGCAAATATTGAAAAAACAAAGAAAATCCTATCAAATAATAATTATCCATTGAATTTTATTAACAGAAGCATAGAAATATTTAAAAACAAAACCTGCAACCCTATGAAAAAAGAGACCAAATATTTCAAATTTCCCTTTATAGACGGCCTTTCGCAAAAAATTGGGAAATGTTTTCAGAAATCTGAGGTTTCAATAGCCTTTTACAACCTCAAAACTACAAATTCTCTGTTCACACATATCAAAGATAAGGTACCCCAGGGTAAAAAGAGCTCTTTGGTCTACAAAATCCCATGTGAATGTGGAAAGTGCTACATAGGTGAAACGATGCAATATCTGGATAAAAGAATACAACAACACAACAATGATTGTCACATTAACAAAAAATACAATGAAGATAAAACAGCATTAGCAAAACACCGTTTTGAAACTGGCCCTAGCTTTAAGTTTGGTGAGGTTGAAGTTGTTGATTCGGAAACACAAACATATAAACGAAAACTGAGTGAAATGATCCACATAAACCTAAATGACTCAGTGAATATAAAGACCGATACAGATGGTCTGAGTGGTGTATCTAGCAATATCCTTCAAATTTACAAGAGAAAGATGAACTAAATATAATTATGCGTGTGGATATGTAACTCTGGAACTATGTGGGGGTTTGTTAGTAGTACTTAACACCATTCAATAAATAATTTATTATAAATGGTGTTTTTGTTTGCTTTTTAGAATTTTTTTTTCCGTCTATGTTTTTCTGTTTTATACATTTTTAAATCTTTTTATATTTTGTGTCTTTTACATTTGTATCTGTGACTTTTTAACTTTTGTAATTTTTTATTTTTATTCTGAGTGTCGGTGTCAGGTTGTATTTTATATATGTATAAGCAAATGTTTCGAATGCACGCTTGAATCCTTTGATATGGAGTACGTACACTGCTGAACTAGAGTACCATAGTGGCCAGCCAATGTAAAACGCTACCTTGTTTTAACAACAGCATAAAGGAACAGAATCCAACTTTTGTCTTGTCAAATTTAAATTATAGCTGGGTTTATACATACACATAACATAACATAAGAAATAACATAACATAAGATAAAAAGTTGACCTTATGGAAACCCCTTATGGCGTTTATACAGAAAATAACATAACATAAGAAATAAGAAAGTTGGTTAACTTTTAACTTTTATGTCTTATTTTATGTGAAAACGGATCTGCGCATGCTCATCCCTTGTTTTCGACATATGGCGAAGTAGTAAACAAAATATTCCAAATACCTAAAACAAAATTATTTTGATTTTGATTGCGGCTTTTGGTAATTTCTTGGATCCGGTATTTATTTTTGTAGTTCTGCTAAATTATTAATTAATAAATTTTTTCATCAAATATACTGTTTTCGGTAGAGTTTACATAAGTACAAGTACCAGCTAATTGGTTAGAAATTATTTCTTATGTTATGTTATTTTCTATATAAACGCCACAAAATTCTTATTTGTTATATTATGTTATGTCTTATTTTATCTTATTTCTTATGTTATGTCATGTGCTGTATAAACCCACCTTAAGTACAAAAGGAAGAAAAATAATAATAGGAAATGATAATAATCCAATAATCATCAATTATTGGCATATAAATCAGAATTTGTCACTATCTTAAGGGTGATCATGCATTGTGCTTTTATTTTAATTTATTTTGACAAGATCGTTGATTGTATATCATTTTAATTTTTTTAATGTTTCTTACCATGTCGTCTCATGTGCCTTATTTCTCCCGTTCCAGGGGGCTTGAAAAAGGAAAAATAAAGTTCTGAAACGTCGCCGAAAGCTAAGTAGTTTCTTTTGGTTTACCTCCCCGTCCTTAAACCCAAGAAATTTCTACCATAATTATTAGTTTGGTCAATTGAAAATCAATGAAATTTTAAGATAATAAGAGCCTCTATACAATATCCAATAATGAAAGATCATTAATTCAACATTATAACTTTGTAACCATACTGCCGGCCGCCATGAATAACAATGTATTAAGTATGTTGAAATTTAATCTGTAAAGTAAATCCAATACGTGCTTGGACTTGCTGTAAAATTATCTCGAACACAGTGAGGTAATACGATCTCATTATAATTTGTATAGTCATATATTGTTGAGAGTTCATACTTTGTATATTTTTATGTTGTCTACTTATTCAAGTATATATATTTTCATAGTCCAACATCAAATCCGGACTCTAATTATTGTCCCATTCCCTTTAATAAACTTAAGTAGATTACAAGCTTAATTCAAATGAACCAATTTGGACTAAGCTTCAAAGTAGTACAATTTAATGTTTATTTCAGCTTAGATTTGTTATTTGACGATGATTCAATGTTGAATAATATAAAATTTAAATTTTACCTTGATTCATCCTTAGCTGTGGGCTTGTATCTGGAACATTCCCTCTTATGAAAAGTTGCTTCAATCCAACTCCTCGCAGGAGCCTGGAAATGTAAAATAATATAAACGAAAAAATATAAACGAATAATTTGAATTACAAAAGCATGCAATTAAAATTATATTAAATTTTTTGTCTTTTAAGGGATTTAGTCCTGCAAATGACAAACAAAACAAAAAATACCCCTTTTGTTAAGCCCATCAGTTGAAAATAAATTAAACTTGAGAATTTAATAATTATGTCAAATACACTGAGGCTTCAGAGGACAGGAAAGTGAAGTTTTATAGTAATTTTGTACTAACCCAGTAAATACAGCTACATTATGTGATTTCTAAGTCACAAATGCTAATTTATATTTATATATTTTTAATCAGAATTAAATGCTCTTTGAGTTGAGTGATAGTTGTCGAGATATTGGATCTCAAAGTTGAAACGTTGTCTCAAATTTTAAAAAACCTCAAGTACTTACATAAACTTGACATGAAACTGTTATCTATATGAACTTTACGTAAATTAAATGTCACAGCTGTGTTCACTGGGAAAAGAATCATCAAATAAAAATCTTAATTCCTATACATAGGTATACACTAGAATCAACTACAAAATTAGTTCCCTGTTTGGTGGTAGCCCAAGAAATTTATAGGTTTTTCAAAACATTTTGCGAAGGCAGGCTGATTTTTTCAGGGCTAATTGGAGACTGTGTCCTGAGTATTGAGCCAAAAAATCACACTCGAAAGCCTTGGGCGTTCGGCCCTATTGGCCTTTTTCTTATTTATATTTTTTTCGACAAAATGACCTTAACAAAACTTGTAGATAATAACATTCTGATCAACTTTGCCTCATGCCTTTTTTTGCTAGCTAGTTTAGTTTAGGCGTTGCGGCCATTTTAGTGCTCCAGAATTCGCAAAAAAATTAAATAGCAAACCTGCAGATTATTGTAACTTTAATAATATTACTGGTAATGTACTCCATTACGTTTTCGGTTTCAGTCCAAGAAATGATACATTACGTCACTAATCCGGTGAAATTATTTTCCCGAAGTGAAAGCGTGAAATCGAAATGATGTTTTTCTGCGATTGACAAGAAATGTCATCATTTTTGACCGGTTGACAGGTCGCAAAACTCAATATTCTGGTATTTTAATTATGTTTCAATAGTTGCTAAGGAATCAATGAATAACAATACGGGAAACACTTTTCCGGCCTAGGCCGGGAAAGTGATTCTCGTACTGCTGAATAATTTGAACCAAAAGACAAACATTTAACAGGTATTTAACCGATCGCAGAAAAAATAGTATGTGTATTTCGGTGGAAAAGCACATTCTTAGCTTTCGGTGTTTGCCGGCCTCGGCTACGCCTCGCCCGTCAACTTACACCGTCGGCCGAGAATGTGTCACTTTTCCACCTAAATACACAATATACTATTTTTTTGACAATACTGGGACCTGTTACCTGTTTGAAAAGTGACAAAATGTTTTTTTTCTACAATCAGCCTAGAAAGTAGACTTTGTCGATTAGATTTGTGCTCGCAAAGTAGACGTTTCCTATGATGACCTCCACTTTGCCGCTTTAGAGCGTCAAACTACGTCAAAATCCTTCACTTTGTCGCTCTAGAGCGGCAAAGTAGTAAAAGCGCTTGCTTTTACTACTGGTTTCTTTGAACCTGAACTATTTTTTATCAAATGTGATTGTAAAAAAAATCAAGAGTGCATTTGCCAATATAAGCAATATCTTTCGATCGGCAAAGTCCCACTTTGCGCTCTTAATATACAAATAGCTATTGTGCAACTGTCCGCGAAATTCAATTTCGCGAAACGCCACATTTTACCTGCAAAATGTGTCAAATCCTTAGAAACGCTATGCATGCCACAATGTCCACCAGGTCAAATAAAATTTTTCAAATGCCTAAAAGGCCATACAAGCGGAAGAAATAAACTTACAATAAATTATCATCAAGCCAAGTAATAGAGAATTTTATTTTATTTTATAATAATCTGCAGGTTTGCTATTTAATTTTTTTGCGAATTTTAAGGCAATAAAATGGCCACAGCGCCTAAAGTAAAATAGCTAGCAAAAAAAGTCATGAGGCAAAGTTGATCAGAATGCTATTATCTACAAGTTTTGTTAAGGTCATTTTGTCGAAAAAAAATAAATAAGAAAAAGGCCAATAGAGCCGAACGCACAAGGCTTTCGAGTGTGATTTTTTGGCTCAATACTCAAAACACACTCCCCAATCAGTCCTGGAAAAATCAGCCTGCCCACGCAAAATTTTTTGCGGCCCCCAGGTATAAATTTCTTGGGCTAAGGTTTCTATAGACGTTAACAATTATCCAACTATGACTTTATTATAAAAATACATACTTTACCGGTTTAGGTGTTAGTTATACAAAAAAAAAACTACAATTAAGTTAGAAGGGATGCAAACTACAGAGTTACGAGGGGGACAACATGTTTTTTTTTCTTAGTTTTTTTTTTTTGAAAACCTTACTGAACCAAAATCGTTTGCTACTGGCCACAGAAAAGTTGTTAGGGAATTGACCAGCGAGTCGAACAGACCTGTTGGTCTCTGGAAAAATTATATCAAATTTATATTCATTTTGTTGATTTATTGGATTTGAATATTATACTTGTGAAACCCATTCTAATTGTTAGAAAATCCTGAAAAAGATTACAAATTATTGGGAAAAAAGAAAACATCCGGCTCGTTTACGAAATCATTAATTTCCTAATAGGTTTTTCCAGTCGCTCGTTAAATTGGCAATCCGCTTGTGGAAAAATATTCGTATTTTGAAAGAGAAAAAGGTTAGTAGCAGATTTTTAATCAAAGCAACATGCATCAAAGCTAATTTTTTCTCACAAAGGATCATCAAGAGAGTAGTAATTTTATTTTCTTTTCAAAGTTGCAGTAAATTACAATGACTTTTCAATTAGGTTAATTTCTACTTTCAAACAAAAATCACCCAAAAATAAAAACCCATCATTCTTCAGGACTGAAAATCACTTACTGCATTAAAATCGTTTGCCACAGGCCACAAAACTGTCTTTAAGGAATTGGCTAGGGTTTCGAATATACCGTGGCGTCGCTGAAAAGGCAATACAGAAAAAAAAAAAAACGAAAATAAATAATAATAATAATAATAATAAAGCGGAAACATTAACAAAACAATACAGCAAAATTAAGAAGAAATCATTAGTAAATGTAAAAAGGCAGACAAAATTGTATGAAAATTTGGAAAAAAGACACTTTACAAGTAGTTATAAATCATAAAGTAGCAAATATATTAGCACAAAACTGAAAATATGCTAGGCATTAGGAATTTTATTGATTATTCCACTCATGTGTTAGAAATACCATAAGACAAGTGACGATTTTCAGAATTACAGCGATTATACAACTCACTGTACATTATTCCCATATGACACGAGAGGCTTAACAAGTGATAAGCCTTTTGGGATTATCGCGCTTGGTGGCAATATTGTTCATTTACTATTAATAATAATAAAAATTAATAAAGTATTAAAGTTTAGTTCGTTGTATAACCTTTTGAATACCACTCGGTGTTTCAGGATTACCTAATACTTTTACCTGACACTCAACGCGTTACCAGCAACACCACTCCTCCTTCGAAGTCGTGGTGTTGCTGCGTAATGCGTTTCGTGATAGGTAAAAGTATTATCCGGGGAAACCTCTTGTGGTATTACATTCGAAAATTCTCTTTTCCATTTGTTTAACTAGAGAGAATTACAGCGATTATACAACTCACTGTACATTATTCACATATGACACGAGAGGATTAACGAGTGATAATCCTTCCCATATGACACGAGAGGCTTAAGAAGTGATAATCCTTTTGCACGGTAACTGGTGTTTTGACACTTTTTGACACCTTCGGAGTCGTGGTGTTGCTGCGTAACGCGTTTCGTGACAGGTGAAAGTATTATCCGGTAATCCTGAAACCTCTTGTGGTATTACATTCGATAATTCTCCCATGTTACTGTATACATGGTTGTCATGCTAATTTTTGATACAAACAAACGGTTCCTGATAGCAACCATTTATTTGTATTGATTGTTAAGATGTTCAAATCGTTTAATACATATTTATTTCCATATTTTTTGCATTCTCATACGTGAAATAATCCTCTAAATACCACTTGAGCTTTAAAATGAACCAGATAATTTTTCACTCATGCGTGTTTTCTCTGCAAATTTCACTCGTCCTACGGACTCGTGAAATTATCCGCACTGATATGCGTGCGGAAAATGAGTTTTCCCGCACGGTGCGGTAAAACTTTTACCGCACGCATATCAGTGCGGAAAAAGTTTTTCCGCACGGCTGTCAGTGCGGAAAAAAATTTACCGCATTGATCTGTCAAAAAAAAAAGAAATCACTTTGCACACTCATTTGCGTGCGGGAAGTTGAACTTTGCGCACGGAAACTCTTTGCGCACTCATTTTTGTTATGCATAATTACCATAGTTATACTTGATTTTTCAATGTTTTTGATGGTTTCTGAATAAACTAATATTCAAAATGAAGGCTTTTAGTTGAAATTAGCGCTTAGCTAACATGATGTTTCCTAGCAAAAGTGTCCAAATTGGACCAGCCTGTACTGCTAGGAATTTGTAGAATTTTTGATATTTGAGAGACTCTCATGAAAATATTCTAGCTGGTATTCTAGAAATTCCAGAAGATGTTAAAAGATTTTTGGGGATTTAATTTTAAAGACATTTTGAGGAATTCCAATAGGTTTAAAACGATTTTTGAAGATTTTGATTTGATTGATTTTTCTAATATTTTAACAATTCAAAGTCTACTTTTTTAAGATACTCGTAGAAAAAATATTGTTCCTAACACTTGCGCAAAGTTTCTTTCCCGCACTCCAAGCTTATCCGAACTCCGCTTCGCGTCGTTCGTCTAACTGCTTTTTCGTGCGGGAAAGTATCACTTTGCGCACTTGTTAGGAAAATAACTATTTCCGCACTCGGCTGCTTCACCGAACTCCGCTACGCGTCGTTCGGTGAACGGCAGCCGCGTGCGGAAAAATTCATTTTCCGCACTTGTTAGGTAAATAGCTATTTCAGAGGCCCTCAAAGACGATTTAAGAATTCATTATTCTATTTCTGAGCCTCAGATTCACTCCCAATTTCGTTCTATTTACTAAAAAGACTCTAACTAATAAAATCCCTAAATAGATAAAGCATTTTTCAATGTTATAGGAAAGCATCCTTGTCTTGAAACATTACGACGTTTATTGCACAATAAATAAAACCCTCAAAAACTTTATCAATTTCGGGACTAATTTTCTTAAAGTGCACAATTTATGGGTTGCACTTTATACCTTTCCGGAAACATTTAGCCCGGAAAGAAATTCCATTTTCCTAAATATTGAACGCTGAGGAAATTGCATAAATATTTTCGGAAATTGAATGATGAGGCTCCATTTAATTTGGACTGAGATAAATAACTCAAATAAATCCGAGGGGGAATCCACCTGCCTAATTTTGTACACCAAAAATTCTAAAATTCTGCAAAATGTTAATTTTCATATTATTGTTTCAAAAAATTCTAAAAATTTTAAAAAATTTCAAAAATCCCTACAGATTGGACAGACTTTTGAGCATGCGGAATAAGTTGAAATTCTCCAAGAATGTTAAAAAACCCTAAAAAATTGAAGAAAAAAAAACCCAAAAAAGTGTAAAAAAAACAAGAAAGTCCAAAAAAATTCAAAAAAAAATGTGGAAAAAATCCAAAAAGGTTAAAAGAAAAAACTCAAACTGAAATCCAAAAGTTGAGTCGAAAAAATTCAAAAAAGTTGAAAATTTCAGTTTTTTTAATTGTTTCTATTTTCCACTATATGTAGATATTGTATCTTTTTTCTTTTTATTTTTCACTAGCGGATATCCGACGTGTGCTACGCTAAAAAAATAAGTAGGTACATTTTATTTATTTGTTGAAAAAGCAAATTTTTACGTCCTGACAATCTGCCTACCTCTCCATCTATTACAATTGACAGGTTGAGTATTCCAAATTGTATTATCACCCGAAGTTAAAGTATATGCAAAATTTCAGCAAAATCCGTTGCGAAGAAATGGTTCAAAAATGTGCACCTGTCACAATTTGACAGGTGACAACTGTCATTAGTGGTCTAAAATGTATTATCACCCGAATTCAAAGTGTATGCAAAATTTTTGCAATATTTTGTATTTTTTTTAGAATAGGTAATCGTATTTTTCGCAATTTTTGTAAATTTTTATACATTTTTCGTGTTTTTTACGATTTTTTGTATTCCCTTTGTATCCTTTTATTTCTTTGCAAATATCACATTTTTTTGAATTTCTCGCAATTTTCATTAATTTCTGTATACATAATGTACATATTATATTTTCGCCATTTTCGTAAATTTTTGTAATTTTCATAATTTTTGCGATTTTTTGTAATCATCGTATTTTTTTCGCAATTTTCATTACATTTGTATTTTTGCAATTTTCGTAAATTTTTGGATTTTTCATGTTTTTTGTGTTTTTTATTGGAACCATCGTAGTTTTCGTAAATCTTTATTTTTTTTTATTTTTTTACGATTTTTTGTATTTTTCTTGTAATTTTTGTATTTTTTATTTTTTTGGGTTTTATCGGTTTTATCGGGTCTCCAAAAAAAAACTAATTAAGATTGCTTTGAATACGAAAACGTATGTCACATTACTGTATCTTTATTGGTCAGGATTTTTGACATGTCATTTTGACATTGAAGTTCATTGACAAAATTACAGAAAAATATTGCTAAGACATACGTTCAAAAAACCATAGCAATCTTTAATTGGTTTTTCTTTTTAAGACCCGATATTTTCTTTGTAATCATCGTGCATATTTCTATTCTGTTTTTGTTTTAAATTTTTATGACATTTTGTATTTTTTTTGGAATAATTGTATTTTTCGTAATTTTCGTAAATTTTTATATTTTTCGTATTTTTTACGATTTTTCATATTTTCTTTGTAGTCTTCGTATTTTTATTTTGCTTTGAATATATGTGATTTTCATGAATTTTTATGATTTTTGTTATACAATTACAAAAATTCAAAAAAATCATAAAAATTTATGAAAATCACAAAAATTCAAAACGAAATAGAAATACTATGATTACAAAAATAAAAAATCATGAAAAAAATACAAAAACTGGCAAAAATCATGACAAATACAAAAATTTACGAAAATTGAAGAAAAATATATACGATAATTACAAAAAACCGCAAAAATCATAAAAAAAAATAAAAAAATTTACGAAAATTGCAAAAATTCACAAATTAATGGAAATTGCGTAAAATCCAAAAAAAAATGTGATATTACAAAGAAAATAAAAAAAATCATAAAAACACGAAAAATATAAAAATTTACGAAAACTACGATAATTCCAAAAAAAAAAATGTAAAAATCATGAAATTTATGAAAACTGCGAAAATACTAAAATTAACGAAAATTGTAAAAAATCGAAAAAAATGCGATATTTGCAAGAAAATATAAGAAAATAAATACAAAGAAAATACAAAAAATCGTTAAAAAAAAATATAAAAATTTACGAAAACCACGATGATTTCAAAAAACATGAAAAATCCAAAAATTTACGAAAATGGCAAAAATACAGAAATTGATAAAAATTGCGAAAAATCCAAAAAATGTGATAATTGTAAAAAAATAAAAATATGATGATTACAAAGAAAATATGAAAAATTGTTAAAAACATGAAAAATACATGACTACGATGATTTCAAAAAACATAAAAAATACTAAAAATTACAGAAGTGGCAAAAATACAGAAGTTAATGAAAATTGCGAAAAATCCAAAAAAAAATGCGATAATCGTGAAAAAATAAAAAAAAGATGACTACAAAGAAAATATGAAAAATCGTAAAAATTACGAAAAATGTACAAAAATTCACGAAAATTACAAAAAATACAAAATTTAACGAAAATTACAAAAAAAATATGATTACAATAAAATACATACCTAAATCTAAAAAAAATACAAAAAATTGCAAAAAGCATAAAAAATACAAAAATTTACGAAAATTGGAAAAAATCCAAAAA